TCCTATTTTTTTTTAAATTATCCTCATTATTAATATGTACCTAGTTGCATTTTTCTTTCTTTTTCTTTAAATAATCAGCAGAATCATCATTGTCGTCATCACCATCATCATTTCCACAGCAGTGTCAAAGGAACAGGAACAGGGAGGGGGTGGGGTGGGGGGCGGAGGACAGGAAGGGTGAGCGAGAAGAGGGGACAGAGGGGGAGGACATTACGGGGTGTGTGGGCGTGCTCAGTACAAGCCACACCCTCGGAGGTTGTTGGCGATGATGATGTCGGTCACGGCGTCAAACACCACCTGGATGTTTCCTGTATCCGTGGCGCAGGTCATGTGACAGTAGATTTCCTTATTTGGAGAGCGATTCTTGCTCTCGAACTGTGCTTGGATGTAAGCAGCTGCGTCCTCATAGGTATTGGGTCCTGGAGATAGAAAAGAGAGACAAACGTAGATGACACATTTATCTACAGAACTGTTGCACACTGCAAGAAAGGAACCTCAAGAACGTAAAAAAAAAAGGCTCGGTTCTGAGTCTTACTTTTTTTTTAAAAGAAAAATCTTGTCAAGCATGTTTTACGTGCGAAAAGTAATCTGGTTTCAAGAAAATCGATCTAACTTTGTCTTAATAAGATATTACAGCTCATATTAAGCATATTAAACCAGTAACAGGTTACAACAACAGTGGAACAAGATTATGTGTAAAAAAGGTCAAATATAAGAATGCTTCTGGTGCCTTCATTTGGCTAATTATTAATCTAAGATTAAGGTACACATCAACTCAAAACGTTTATTTTAAATGAATTCTATTTTAAATAACTAAGTTTCCATTGCAAGTTTTTATAATTTTTTCTAGTTTTAAGGCCCATTACAATATTTGATTGGCTAGATTTGTATGCCAGTTCTATGAATTATAGCCAAGCAACGCTAGCCTACCCCATTGGAAGGTTTTTTTTGCTTAATGCAAATAATGTTTAAGAATATTTGGCTTGTTTCTCAAAGGGTTTTTGCAGTGTTTTACTGGAATAAAGAAGTTGAATCAGTAGTTCTACTTGAATAAAGAACGTGTGCTTTTCCACTTCAAGCATTGGTGTGCGTGTGTGTGTTGGCATGCTGAAGACTATGTGCTGAAGAAACAATGCCTCTAACACCACCACCAAACCTCATTAACACCACCAAGTTGTCTGTTTATATATAGATATATATCTATATATCTATATATATACAATATCTATTACTAATGTTTACAAGCTGTTCAACCATCACAGTATATATATTTATCGGTGCACTGTCTCAACCTTTCTACATTCCAATTTATTCACTTATCATTACTAAACACCTGCCTACCACAGTATTATATTTGATTTAATGGTATATTATATTATATTCCTATATTTTAACTTCTGCACTATTTTATGTCATTTTCTCTTTATACATATTGTTTGAGCAGTGAGAACTTCATTGCCAATGACTGATTCACTGTAATTGTGCACATGACAATAAAGCACTTGTTCTCTCCATGTTCTGAAACTAGCTCTGATTCTTAATCAATAATACTTTATTTTCCCTGGTTGCTCTTCTTTTGTTGCACAGAACAAGAAGTCAGGGGTTCAAAAACATTATTCTAAGAGTCTTCCTGGGGGAAAGTACGGGAGGGAGGGAGGGAGGGAGGGAGGGAGGGAGGGGAAAGAGACGGAATGTGTCGGATAGACTTAACTGTGATTATCAGGGCAGTTAGCAGAGAATAAGTAAAGCATGAGAGACAGGAATGAACAGGATCGGCTGAGAGAGCTGCGTGTGTGTGAAGAGGGCAGGAGACAGCTCTCACTTGCCATCACCTCTTCCTTCTTCATGGCTGACCAAGCGTGACTGTCTCCTGCTCTCTGACTCCCAATCGCCTCCTTTTCACTGCCACGACTACATCTGACTCTCACCCCCACATGAAGAAATCTCTCTCCTGTTTTCTCCCCCTCAAAGCTTTAATTTCAGCCTCTTGACTGCCTCTCTCTCTCTCTCTCTCTCTCTTTTTATCTCTGCTATCCTTTTAAACACAGTAAAGTAAATCTTCATGTATATCGCTCTTTTCAAACTGAGGTTGCAAACAGGCGACATCAAACGTCTGGTTATTTTGCTCCAGCTATCCCTCCTGCTAACAACTGATGATTCAGCTGACTCGCCGCTGTAAACAGCTGCTTTGATTAAAAGTGCCACATTTCTCAGAATGGTTTACAACTCACTGACAGTAAATGTCAAGATTGGTGCTGGCAGCTCCGGAGGTACAATGCAGAACAAACTAACTAATCTACTGTATCAAGCAGCAGTTAATCAGTGGCCAGAAACACGGGAGGGGTTTCGGAAAGCTATTTCACTTCTGGGAATCACACTGAGATCAGACAGCTGGTAGTCATTCATACTCTTATATCATCTCTTTTAAATTAGTGTTCCTCTCTTTAACCCTGCCTCACATTCTGTAGTATGACCTCGGCTGCAGCATCCTTTTACTGGCTTTCTGGAAGCTTTTTGGTTTCTTGCTGAGAGTCATATGAGAATACTGAAACCACTCATGTTTGTCAATCTGTCTGCAAATATTAGGGATGCACGGTTCAACTGATAATTACCTGCTTCTCATGGCCGATATCGATAAGATAACAGATGATTTCACATTTTTTGTATTTTAAAAAGAAGTTCACAACCTGTAGTTTTTACACACTCGGTGGTAAGAAAGCCTGAGATGTTTAATATTCCAGCTCTAATCTAACCAAATCTGACATCAATAGTTCTGACTCTTCAATTCTTATTGTTTATTGGTTATGTTTATTTTTTTGTATTTGTATTATTTGTATTATATTTTTATTTCATCAAAAACTTACTTTGGCTTGATTGAACATAAAGACTATCAAATGTGTTCAGTTAATATTCAGTTGTTATTTATTTACCTCACTTATTCATGATAATATAAGTTTCCCATTGTCGGCTGATCATTTATCTGCCCCGATAATTATTGTGTATCCCTAGTAAAAATTAAGCAAGCGGCTGGTTAGCTTAGCTTAGCATAAAACCAGGAAAGAGGAAACAGCAAGCCTGGTTCTGCCCACAGGTAACAAAATCCCATTATTAAACACCTTATGTCCTATTTATTTAATCCCAATTTGCTGTTTTACATGGTTTATAGGCTGGACTGTTTTTTGGAATTTATATATATATATATATTTTTGTACTGATTAAACAAACAAGATATAATGTGTTAATGAGATTTAGAGGTGCTGGTAGTCACCTTTGGACAGAACCAGGCGAGCTATTTTTCCTGTTTTCAGTCTATATGCTAAGCTATGCCAACCGGCTGCTGGCTCCAGCTTCATATTTAACATACAGATATCAATATTCTCATTGAGGCGACCCGGGGCGTCTGTAGAGTGATTCTAGGGAACAAAGCCACAACAGTCCTTATTTTCAGGTGATTATACAGTAATGATAACATACCTATTAATATTATATTCAGATTATATTATATTTCTGACAATAGATCCTCCTAAATGTTACACACTGGACCTTTAAGATACATTTTCAAGACTGACTTAGTGGTCCTATTGTGCACGAGTCTGCACATGAAACCTGTATCCTCAGTAATGTGGGCAAAGCTAAATTCTTATAGCTGTGTTTTGTTTTTCTCATTTAAAACTTTAAAGCAAATTGATCAGTGAGTTTATGGTATATCGGACTGTTTCCTGTCCTGTGTAATTGGATTCAGTTTCACTGGTTCACAGCTTTCTGTGAATCAATATTGTACACCTGTCAAGTTTTGTTGCTGCTTACACGTTTTGAGAGCTGCTATTTCTCACCATACACTCAGGGAAATTGACAATTTAATTTTTTTATGTTTTCCTACCTGTGTATTCGGGGAAGCAGATGCTGAGTGCAGACTTCTTGATCTTCTCTGCAAACAGATCCTTCTTGTTGAGGAAGAGGATGATGGAAGTGTCGATGAAGAACTTGTTGTTGCAGATTGAGTCGAACAGCATCAGGGACTCGTGCATGCGATTCTGTGGAGGAGGACGGAAGAAAGGAATGGACGGGGAAAATGGACAAAAAGGAATGAGACAGCAAAGAGGAATAAAAGGAGGGGGATGGGATTAGATGAGATTAAGGAAACAGGTGAAAGGAAGAGGAGAGGATTAAAGAGAGAGGAGAGAGAAGAGGAGGAGTGAGATGATAGGGAGGGGACAAAGAGAGAAGATCAAGGACAGACAAGAAGAGAAGGTGAATGGATGATGATAAAAAAAAGAGAAGAAAGAAGAGAAAAGTTAAAGTTACTGACAATCTATAACCTTTGCATTGGAGAATGAGGACATGGGACATGCAAATGAGCCAAACACAACTGTTACTTTCACACACACACAAACACACTGAGAGAGAGAAATAATTACACCCCCCTCTCTCTCTTTTTCCAATTAGAACGTCAGTTAAAGAGAGAGGAGAGAAAAAAGGGGGAGACATCAGGGGGGATCACAGTTTTTCTGCACAATTATTGCTTGTGCATCCTTGATTCAATTAAATGCAACATATTATGCAGTGTCAAGGACACCGACTGAGGGTAGATTTCTTCGTCTCACTCACTCTCTCACACACATTAGTATTATGCGTAATGAAGCCCAGGTGACTGCCAGACAATCTCCCAACACACACACACACACACACACACACACACACACACACACACACACACACACACACACACACACACACACACACACACACACACACACACACAGTAGTGACAAGAAACTGCGGCAGTGTTAGTTTACAGAGCTGTGGAGGAAATTATTTCCAACATTTACAACAAATCATAGTTTTGGAAAACAGAGGCAGTGAGTGGGAAGGAAGGAAAAAGACAATCTACAAACATCCTCGGTGTTTGTATTTAAATATTCTGCAAATGCAAATTCACACACACGCACACGCACACCGACAGACACAAAATAACTGGATCAGGATAATGATCACACATATCGAGTTACTCATGTGGTGCTTTATTGTCATGTCTCTTGTATAAATACAACTTTCAATAAATTATCACAGCAGTGGGGAGATACAGCAGATATATTTTACTTACAGTGCACAGTAAAATGGCACACACATATAGACACACAAACATACACAAAAACAGGTTTGCATTTTGCTGCAAGCGATCTGTACAGTATAGACAGGTGCTGATTGGTCTTGGACTGAGGGGTTCAATGGTGTGGGCACTGGAGGGTGGAAGGCTAAAAGCACTGCAGCAGTACGGGCTGAGAGCACGATGAGTGCAAGGACTGTAACCACATTGTACTCTGCCTCCTTCATTCTACAGTTCATTACGGTCATGTGCCCGGTGGCTTTCTGAATCGTCATGCTCATTTTATGGACTGCAAAGGTTGAGTGTGAACTGAACTTCTTTAAAAGCATTTACAAGCAAAACTCCAATTCTTAATGTGAAGCATACATAAGTCAGCGAAAAGCTCATTTAAATCCAATATGGCAAACATTTGGCACCAAACTCTGGGATCAAAACTCAACACAGTTCTTTACTTGGCTACCATTGTGGGGAATTGTTTATGCTGCTACGGCACTGGATTGGCTCAAGGTGCTAACAGTTCTTTTGTGCCACCACCTGCTGCCCAGATGAACTAGCACCTTTGTTATCTGAATAAACCCCTGATTCTATTATTCACATCAGAGCCAGCCACCTAAAAAAGAAATACACTACCACCCATGAACCGTCTCTGTCATGACCTCAGACTACATTACCCACAAATCTCTCCTTCACTTCTGCCTAAAGGAGTCCGTTATTTATCACTGTGACACCCACTATTCTCTCAGCCTTGCGTGCTGATATCATTTCCCACTGGTTGTTTGGGGTTTATTGGTAATTCATCAGGAGTAGAGACAGGTTGTGAAAAGCACAAAAGCACACATATACATGCCCAAACACATACACACACACACACACACACACACACACAGACACACACACACACACACACAGACACACACACACACACACACACACACACACACACACAGACAGACACAGACAGAGACAGAGACAGTGATCTGCTCATATTTCCTCTCTGAGGAAGCATCAACCCTGTCGCCACCTTATAAACTACTAATAGCTTTAGAGCTATTAGAGAGAGAGAGAGAGCGAGAGGGAGAGCGAGAGAGAGAGAGAGCAAAGCAATGAGAGCAAATCAAATGATTACATGGAATTTTTTGGCTATATGTCTGTCTAACTGGCGTAGGATGTGAGGAGGACTCTGTGGCGGGTGATTAAAACTGCCATCACTGATATTGGTGAGGTGAGGGGACTGTGCAGAACCCAAAGGACTTAAAGACAGCCCCCAGCCCATCCCTCCAACCATGAAGGAGAAACTATGTTGGGTGCAAAACTCCCAAAAGGCCCTATCTAGAGCCAGTGTTTGGGTAGCTACTGCAGAAACATTGCAGATTCTGAAGAGGACCCGCTCCCTCTGTAGATAAAAACAGCTCATTCTAAGGTAACGAAAACACAATGATTCTTATATTCTGTAATGAAAACATAACCATGAATATTATATTCCATTTCTGACAATAGAACCTCCTAAATGTTACACACTTGACCTTTAAGTGAGGATGATGCTAAACTAAATTATTCAGTCATTCAACAAACTATGAATTAATCACACTTCAGGCCACTTTTACAGCGACAGGGCATACACAGGACAGAAAAAGCCTGTAATGGGCAAGGGCATGATTCAGGTGCAAAAGTCAGAATAGTCAGAATAGTTTGTTTTGTCACTTCTGTGTCTTGCACTGTGCACATGCACAGATGCTAATTGTTTTCAGCATGTCAGTGTAAAATATTAGTTCGGCCTCTATGCAAATTACAAACAAAACTTGCCTGTCTAAAAAAACTTGCACACACTTCGACATACTTTAAAAAAAGGAGGGAAGCTTCCCTGCAGTGTCACGGCTGACAGAAGTGGGAAGTGAAGTCAATCATAGAGCTAATGCAGTAAGATCTTCCTTTCACATCATGTAATGAATTAAACAATGGAGAAGATCAGAAACTAGAGGCCTTCAGCAGCAGGCTTCATGTTTGGCAAAAGAACCAAAAAAGCTCTCTTTGGTGGGATACGGTGGTATTATTTGGCACCGGCAAGAAAGGTGTTGTGACATTTTGAAGTCCCATGGGTGTGTTTGTCTTCAGTGTGTGTGTGTACGTATGTGTGGGTTTGTGTAGAGGGCCTGTGTGTGTGGAAAGGGTAGATAGGTGCCTTCTGGGTAATTAATCCACAGATACTGACTCCGCCACAACACCCATGGGCTGATGTTGTCTCTCACACAACGCACATACGCGCACACCATAGACAAGCACACACACGCAGACACAGAAACACACACACACACACACACACTGACCTTTCCCGTACTCTCAACAGACACACACGTAAGTGACTATATACAATCTGCAAACACACACGATTACACACAGGATACAAAGACATAACCACACACACACACACACACACACACACACACACACACACACACACACACACACACACACACACACACACACACACACACACACACACACACACACACACACACACACACACACAGAGAGAGAGAACAGGCTGATCAACAGCCTTAGGCAGTTCTCTAATTAGGAAAAGTTGGCACAAATGTGGAAGGAAGAGCCGATGACGTCGTCTACCTGTTTTAAAAATCGCAGCTTTGAGCAGAGGGTGGAGACACGTCCTAGCTGTTTGAGTGTCGAGGGAAGAGTGGAATATAGCAAATGCCGCGCTCATACATAAATAAAGAAGCTCTCTGCCTCTGTTTGCCAGGGAGCACTCACAGCAGTAAAGCTGTAAACACACTCAGCTCAGTCAAATCAACAAAGTCCCACTGACAAACACGGCTCAGTTTCTATGCGATGCTGTAAACTGTTGCTTATAAAGGAAGAAGGGAGGAGCTGATGATATTTTCCTGGTATTATATGCATCTCTTTGGCTTTAACATTAAGGCTCAAACCTGAACTGCTCCCACCAATTGCACACATCACTTTTTATTCCCCCTAAGCTGTGCACTACATCAAACCTCAGTCCAACAGGAGCTCTGGGACGACTACCATCTAGCAGAAATGGAACCCGCTCAGCAGAAAGCAAAACATCAGGACTAAAACAACAAGATTGACATTCGTGTCCCAGAGGACCATATGTACTCACCAGCACACAATCTTTCAAAGCTCACCTCTGGCTTAATAAGGCAGAGTGGTGGACGATAGGGATATTACACTGTGCAGCCCCACACAATGGATGCGGCCCCACGGCCTCATAAAATCGATGCTTCCTTTGAAGCATTATCTGGCAATTGTGTGGTTGAGTCAGCACACTCTTGTAGCTCCTCTGTTTAAAGTGATTTTATAGTGGACCCATGCATGCTGCAGCAAGGGGGCCTGGAAAACCAATCCTAACATATGAGCAAAGGTGACATCCACATGGATGAGGGGTGATGGCAGAATAAATAACATAGATAGCAACGTCCTCACTGTAAATTTAAATATGAGCTTTACATTTAAGGTGAAGGGAAAAAAACAAGAAATTATACTGCTCACCTCTTTTAATTTTTTATCAAAAGTACAATTTCAATTACCTTCCTCTATAGGGACAAAGAACAAATTTACTTCCAAATGAAATGCATCCAAGTCCAAAACACTAAGGTTATGTGATAACCAAGCAGTTTCCCAGCAACATGGAAATACACAATTGAGTTCTGCTGTATGAACTCCTGTTTGGGTTTTCAATAAAATGATAAGCTACCATTGCTCCAACCTTGACTGATGCCCCACAGAACTGAACAAAATGACTGAACTGTCAATGAGCACGTCAACTCTATGCTTAAGTCAAATGACACCAAAAATAAAATAAATATTTCTTCTAATAATATTCAAAATAATTTTATTTCTTCTTGAATCCCAATTGTGAATGTGATTATAATTTTTTTGAAATTTTGATTGTTGAAAAATGAGGCAATCCTAGCCAAACCTTTGATATGACCAAGAGGAGTCGCCAAAGTCGGAAATGTTCAAATCCTACACATTTAACTTGGATATACTGGCTGAACCTATCATCCTAGGTACCATCAATTTGCAATGTAGTAAAAAAATAGAAATGTCACTTTACAGAAAAACAGTCATAAGTGGGATTACCTTTGGTCTTATTACATTTCATATTCTGAACAGCCCACTCTGATAAACCCCCTCTTCCCTCAGGATGAGATGAATTGGTCCTACTTGTTGAATCATTATGTTAAAGAGGCAATGCACACTTAAAAATGTCGTATGAGCTGTAAACTAAATAACATGACTGTAACATGATGAAATATATCAATTCATGTCTTAAAAATCTACTGTTTTGAATCACTCTGAATCTTGCAAGCTCAATGCTGACGTAGAGTTTGGGACTACTTTACGTCATCACATTAATATGAAATAAAGAGTGTTAACGCCCTCTAATCAGAGAAGGGCCGCCCACCCCCTCCAGCTGTGGAACCACTGTGCTCATTTTCAAATGTATACTAATATAATACAATAGATGCATCATTTACAGGAGTACTTGTGCTAGGTTTTTGCTTTAGTATTTCAGTGCAGGCTTGTGCTTTCGAAGCATCACCAGACTGATTCATATATTGGAAAGTTAGCCTCTCTGAGCCATTAGTTTAGCTAAAATACAACCGCTAGCTTAACAGTACCACACACAAACCTTCACAAATAATCGTGAATGTGCTTCTAGTGACTGGCAAAGCTGCAGCGGACTCTCTGGCATCAGACTGTTTAATATGGAACTACTAAGGGGCAATATTTAACCAATACATATTATAACTAGACAACTAAACCATCATATGAAAAAGTACAGAAAAATATACAAACGAATACAATTTGAACTAATTTAATATGCAATTAAAACTCTAAATGCTATTTCATAATTTCAGTATGGTTCACTGTGATTGCTTATTTCATTAAAGCAATCTCAAAATGCTCTATATGAAAGTGTATTTTTTATTTCACTGACATTTTTCTGTTACTATTCTGCTGCTGGTCCCAGCCTCTTAGCAGGCTCAGCAAGTGCTATGAAATAAATTATTGTGAAAATAATACACTTAATAATAATCAGTTTTGTTTGACTTGTATCTAATAATTTCACAATGAGTGGTTCATCAATTATTTTCTATATTAATTCATATGATGATTTAAGTCATTATGTCTCATTTATTTATTAAATAATAGTCATTTTGGAGCTCAATAGTTAAAAGAGCATGGCTTAGTGCAACAAGACAGTTGGAAACTACCCTACTACATCTGAGCAGGACGGTCACCCGATAAGGAGGGGTGCTACAAAAGCTATTTTTCATAAAGTATAAATATAAATGCTTTTTTTGCTGATTTCTATTTTCTTTGCATTTCTTTATAGTAGGTTGGACATAATCTTGTCAATAGTCTAAGATCTCATGTACATGATCATGTGGTGAACATGAAGTCTGAAGAACAACTTTCTGAAGCAAACTGAGATTGAAATGAACTTGATTGATACTGCTTGGACGACATACTCATATATTCAAATCAAATTTAAATAAAAACAATTAGAATACTTTGGGGTAGAGACATAATTCTTGTTACACTATTTTTCGGGACTGCTGGTGAACCCCTAAGATGGCTGCACTTCATTTGCATTCTGTCTAGTTGATTGAGTAACACAGCACTACTGTACGTACAAACCAGTCTCAGGAATCTTGTATCCTTGTAAAGCCGACTGTAGGTGTTGTGCAAGATTTCTGCAGCACACCAGCAAAAGATTTGGAGCTATAAATAAATGCACAAATACAGTAACTTTACAGCAATTAGTTCTTCTTTAGAAGGAAGTAAAAAAGACAAATACCTTAAAAGAAGTCTCACCCAACCAACCAATTCATTATTTAAGAGGTAAGTTGGACTAATGGCGAGTCTTACGGTAAAGCAATATAATGACATCATGAACATATTGATCACATCACTGACATGGTACCCCACATTGGAAAATACAAGTCAAACACCCATCATCTATTGGCTAACATTTAATCATCAGTACAGGCCACACCCCCGCAGGTTATTTGCTATGATGACATCAGTGACAGCATCAAAGACAAACTGGATGTTGTTGGTGTCTGTAGCGCAGGTCACATGGGAGTAGACCTCTTTGTTGGGTGACTTGTTCTTGCTCTCGTACTGACACTTAATGTAGTCTATTCCCTCCAAGTAAGTGTCTGGACCTAAAGAGAGAGAGATATGGGAGAGAGAGAGAGAGAGAGAGAGAGAGAGAGAGAGAGAGAGAGAGAGAGAGAGAGAGAGAGAGATGACAAATAGTGGGAGTTAGGTGAAGGCTTAAAAGCTGTTGTTATGTGAGTCTTTATATCAGTGGACCATCCTCCATTTTCCATATCAGCACTATTTTCTGATATTTTCTGAAAACATAACCTTTGACATTCTAGCTCAGCACACATTCTGCTGAGGTGTACGGAGCGCTTTGCTTACTGCGAGCCAAGCTTGAATAAATATGAAACATGGACAACTTTTTTAGACAAAATGGAAAGGTGATTTTGGGCTGACAAATGAAATGTGATGGAAAATGTTATGTCTTGTTATTGTTGGCAAGGTTTACTGGTTTCTGAACATGCCAGTGTATCATAGTCTTTATACAGCAACAGAACAAGTGTGACATATACGAGGTCCTAGAGCCAAAAGGATGGAACCATTATTCATGCTGTATATTGATTCATTTTACAGCAGGGCCAAATCTACTGTATGCCCTTTTAGTTCAAGTCCATTATAAACTGCAAGTTTAGTTCTGCTTGTAATGTAAGCATTTGGCATGCAGCGGATTTAATCAAGAGCTTTAATTTGTTGTAATGCTTTTGGAATGAGTCAGATCTCTGTGATTGGAGTAATTCTGCTCAAAGTGTCACTAATATCTATCTGGCTCTCAGCCATTAGCAGCACTGTGGTTTGTCTGTCCGCTTCAGCAGCAACTTTGTCAGAACAGGCACGAGGCCATGTAAAAGGATGAAGAGAAGAGAAGAGGAGAGGAGAGGAAACAGGTTTGGAATCCTAATTCTCTCTTTCTCACAGTCTTGCTGTTTTGGTCTCTCTCCATCTTGCTTTCCCACAGCCTTGCTTTGTCTATTTTTTCCCCCTAATTTTCTCACACTCTTGCTCGCTCTGTCTTTTTCATTTTCTGTTGTTTCACCCTGTGTTGTCTTATCTCTCATTTTCTCTTGTATCTAGCACACTTGAGCTCCTCACTCCTGGCAGCACTCCCGATTTCATTCATTGTTTTACTTCACTTCTTTGACTCTCATCTTTGTTTTGATTAGAGTCTGAAGCCTATCTGTTTTTTTCTGTTACCTTCAATCTTCTATTTCCCATTCTGTCTTTTATCCTCCAGCCTAACAACCTTTTGTATACATTGTTACGTTCATCAGAGCAATTGTACTTTTAGCAGATAACTGAACTCTTTTGCACTCAATGGTGCTGACTTCACCTAAGATAAAGGCCGGGGTAGCAGATTAAGTGTGACGCTATCGTGACGTCACCCATTGGTTTGTGGAGTACTGTAGCCTCGAGTTTGGCATTATGGCCGTCACCATGTTGTTTTTTTGCAGCCAGCAGAAATGACATACTGTATGTTGACTTGTGCTCATTGGCTGCACAGTTTCAACTAATCCGTGGCAGGAAAAAAATGTGGCTCACCTGGTCACACAAGTTCTTGTATTACAGATAAACAATACACTTTTCTATTAGAAAGAATGCAGGTTTTAAACATTTCTGCATAATCCAGAAACTCTGTCTACAATTATATACTGTCAGTGCCCAAGATGCCTTAATATGACTTAATGAATGAAGTTAGTATGTAAACAGACTGATTTAGGCAGTGGGTTTGTGTTGTAAATTAAATGTAGGGGTTGGAAATATATTCAATTAATCCCATTAATTTAAAGTGTTAAATATTTACATTGTGAAAACTGAGGTATTACAGTTTGCTGTTGGCTACATTAGCTGTCTTGAGTCACGACTAATTTCACATACAAATAAAGCTATAGGAGTTACAGATATGTTTACTTTTGTAACCATTATAACTGTAATTTAAAAGGGAAAGCAAATTTAAGCTCAGTACACATTTGGTGAGATGGCATGTTGTAATAATTTAACTTGGTGAATGCTGTAAAGAGCCATATTGTGTAGTAACAGATACTGTCCCCCAAATGGCATGTAGCTGGGACATGTTGCCTCTAAAAACAGCGGCCTGCAGTGGGTTGTCAAGTGGGAACATTTGGCAAATACTGCTTAAATTTTTGACGGGGCAATCGTTTGGACAACTGTAACGGCAACTGCACCAAACAGTGCAGTGAAGGGAATGAAAGTACTTTTGATACATGTGGAAGAAAATTTGCTGTTGGACAGGGGCATGTCCAGACTTTGGACTGCGGTGGCACAAGTGGGGCACTGACTTATGCAGGAGTGGCATGTAGTATGTGTCTCAGCTTTCCAGTCTTACCAATTTATGCAATTCCAATACTGTTTAGGGACCCCAGGCCACAGAAATATTCAAATACACTAGGCAAAAATAATACATTTAAACCCCATACAAAAAAAACTGCAGGTTTTTGCCCACAGCTGCATGGGATTACCATAAAGTTGGCATGTCTGCAAAGGGGAGAGCCATAGGACCCATTTTCATTTAGATATCTTGAGGGCAGATGTCAAGGGATCCTTTTTTTTTCTTTTGCCAAAATTTAGCCTAACTTTGGAGTGTTATTGAACCCCCTTACCAACACTGGTTGGTACCAATGGATGCGTTCGATCATTTAGTTTCATATGATACTAGTATCTTCACTCCAGAACTTGGCCTATCAGACTTCTTGGGGACTACACAAAGATGTTCACAGGTTTAGCGTTAAAATGCTTTGTCAAGAACCCAAAACAAAGCTACTCTTTAAATGGTTGTGAATACTGGGTGGGGGACGCTCTACCTCAGCAGCCTACTAGTATCCATGCAAATTATATAGTATATAGTATGAACTAGTTATAGACTATCACTCTCAAGAGTTTGGATATGTACCAGTGTACTCAGGGAAGCAGATGGACAGGGGTGATTTGCAGATCTTGTTTTCAAAGATGTCCTTCTTGTTCAGGAAGAGGATGATGGAGGTGTCCTTAAACCACTTGTTGTTACAGATGGAATCAAACAGCTTCAGAGACTCGTGCATTCGGTTCTGTAGAAGAGACATTAGCAAGTGTTAAAGGGGCTTTAAAACACACTCTTCTTCATGCTCACAAACACATGGATTCACACCCAAAAATGTCAACCAAATGAATGCACGTGTGTTCCAAAAGCACATGTGCACAAGCAGCCAAATGGAGAACACACACAACATACAAACCGTTTAAACACAAAGAGGAATTGAGCAAATAAAAATGAGAAGGAGGAACAGAGGTACTGAGGAGTTCCTCCTGTCTATGGACACAGCATTTACTTCTGCATAGTGAGTTGGTATTTGTGTGTGTGTGTGAGCACGTGTGTATCAACATATGAGTAATAGAAGATATTAGTAAGCTGGTTGTTTCAGCTGAGTTAAACCAAGCCATGCACTTATAGCTATTAAGCTGTGAGCCACTGCATACTTTTACAGGAGTATATAACCGTTGATAAAGGATAACTTAAGGGTGCCCTGTGGAGCTTTTGACCACTAGGGGCGCTGTACAGCAATACTCTGTACTGAGTGCATTAAGTATTCTACATCATGTGCTTGAGGACATAAACTGCTCAAGGTGAGCAGAGGGTTACGTAATCTACATTTCTGCAAACTGCAATAGGCAGCAACAGTTTGTGGAGGTAATGAATTGTAAAAGGTAGCAGTGTACCAATGAAGGAGAAGAAACAAACTAGCTGATGTCAACAACGCACATTGAAATTCAAAGCTTTGCAAATGTTCTCTTGGGTCGAAAATTTAACATGTTTCAGAGGCCAAATACAACAAGTGCACTTTAGTATTAAAGTAGTAAAAGAAGTACATAATACTATAATAATAAATTATATATTAAAAGAAAACATATAAGACATGGATGTAAACACTGCTAAATTAGCATCCAAAATGCAGCTTAAAGGGTTACTAAGCATGAAAACTTTGGTTGATCAACAAAAACTATGATTAATACATTTAAGATTAAATTAATTAAAAAAATTTAGATTTTTCATCATTAGGCACTTTTCAATGTTAGTAGATCATGGGATTTGTGGCTCTTTAGATTGAGTTGTTGGCAGCTGGCAGAAAGCTTTGTTAGCAACAGTGCTTTATAAATAAGTATACCTCACCTAATTCTCAGCAGAAATTAAATTAAATGAATTTGTGTAGCAACAAATCATAACAGCGGTTATCTCAGGAGACTTTTCAAATAGATCAGGTCTCAATTGTGCTCCTTATAAAATTACAGAACACAGTTCAGTTTGCTAATGAAATCTGTAGAAGGTGATAAGCAAACCAACTGTTGGCATTACATTTTAGCTCAAGTAAAAAAGTCAGTGAAGAAACCTGTCAACACTGCTTATAAAAGTGCCTATTGATGAAAATGGATTATTTTTAAGAATGAGTTGAAAGCAGTTTCTCTCTGGTTATGATCCTTTATTGCCCAGTTTGGGACTGGAGAGGGAAGAAAAGGTGATCAGCTTACAGGAAACTGAAACTGTTGGAAAGGAGGATTAAATAGCTAGACAATAATTTAGAGAAATAAGAAAGTGATCAGACAGTCCGAAATCCGACAGATAGATAGACCGATAGAAAGATAGATAGATAGGTAAGATAGCATGCAATAAAACATCTGACAAACAGAAAGAGGCACTGCTTTCAACTCATGGTGAACGTATCAACCTATCGGGATGTTTCATACCTGTCTGTGGGTGGCGCATCTGTAGAAGATCTGACTGCTGATTGGTTAGAGAGGACAGTCGATGGCGAGAGTGACAGGAGGAGCGGAAGGAGCCAGAGATGCTGCAGGGCGGAGCTTAGAGCAGGAACAGAAAATGCAAGGGACCCGCCCACCCAGCCACGTTCCACTTCCTTTAAATGACACCCCCTTTGCCCCAAACACACACGTACACGCATACACACCCCTAGTGCTGAAAAGAAAGTGTTTAGAGGCAGGAGGACAAGACTTTATCCAGACAGTGTTCACCCAGAGCGCCTGTCATTTCAGACTCTAGTCTCTGTGTGCGTGTTTTCACAAAAACAAGACAAGGAGAGACAGAGAAAAACACAACGCAAGCAGTTCTTCAATAGAAAGAAGGGAATTACAAAGCAAAAGTAGTGTGTCGTACTGCATGTGCGCGTGTGTGTCCATACAGCACACAGATGTTTATAGATATACAGTCAAAACCTTTAAAATGGGACCAATGAGGTGCTCTTTTTTTTACTTTATTGTCCTCTCAAAAGGACAAAAACCCTACTAACAAAACAGACAACCTGTACTGTCAACTTACAATCTGGCAATATCATTCCATATCACACAGGTACTGCAAATGACATTGTATCTGCAGGTCTTCAAAAGTCTTAAAAAGTACTGAATGATTAAATTGAATTCACAGACGTCTTAAATATGTTCTCTTGCCTGCCACAGGCAATAATGTTAGTAATAAAATGTTCTTCTATCTGATCGCAGGCTGTTGGAGATGTTATGTACCGTGGGATTGTTGTGACAGGCGACTGTGTAGGAAGCTGTTCAATCCTTTTTTGTGTTTAGTTTCTGTGAGCACCATCAGACCTGCAACAAACACCATCACAACTGCTAGCTGTCTCATAATGTGCAAGTGTCAATGTTAGCAAAAACCAACTCGGACAAATGAATCATTTTTCATTGGTTAATCCATTCATCCATTTTATGCCACTTATCCATGTCCAGGTCACATTAATTCAATTGATCATATCATTAGGAATCATTGTGATATACTGCTGGGGAGCAGTGAAAAAACGTTATATAATAATTAATAATTCTAGGCCATATTGTCCCTACTGGCTTTCCATCACACTTTCATACTTTGGACGGTATGATTGTGCAAGATGGTAACTATAATTCTATGTGGTATTAAAAAGGCCTTTAAAAGTCTAAAAATCAAATGGATGATCTCTGAGAAGAGCCTGTTCTTTATGGTTATTGGCCTGATATCTTCTAAGTACTATCATATCAATAATTTCTTGCAGCAGAACAACTGCTTTGTTTCACCTGATGCTAAAATACTATGACTAGGACTCTTCTATTTTTCTGATCTCACTGCACATGCTAGTTGTCACATGACTTTAGGAATCTCCAGAAACCTCTTTCAACCTACTTGTGAAAACTACGTCACATGTCTTTGACATACTAGAAGTCACACCAACTACAAACATTGTGTACAAATATATATAATGTAGGCTATGGTTTGTAATGTAACAATAAAGCCTCTGAAGAAAATCTAATGAATAAACAATACAATATGAACTGTATATGCATTTTTTAAATTATTATTGGTAAGAGGTATACTGAGAATTTAATACAGGATCAGTATTAAGGGGAAAAGCTGGATCAAATCAAATTCATGTTGTATCAGTGATTTTAATGAGCTACCCAAAAGGGATATATGTATCACTTAATCACTGAGGAGGGGTGTTATCTCTCATGTCTGATTGTAGAATATTTTTTACTGTGCACAGTGCTTGTAATTTCTGAATCACATGCCTGGTTGTGTGTCTGGTAGCAGAACTGACGGAGGTTGTGGGCGCTTGCCGAAAAACATTTGGTTATTTGCCTGGTAATTAGAACTCCTACGCTAGTGTTTGCTCTTTAATGGTAACACATAATGTTGATCAGAACACTGTCTCACAGATAAAAAACAAAAATGAGCAGAACTGCTATTAATGTAGTCTGAACAGATAGGAATCTGGGATGTTTTATTTCTTTTTTGGTATACCCTTACTGCCTTGTATTCGTCTGTGTGAACTTGTATTTTAGCTGTGGGCTGTGCTGGTGAAAATGTAATAGTGTCCACAATATCATAGTAAAACAACACTGTACTCAAATAAAATGTACTGAGGTACTGTCAGAGGAAAACATTTTTTTACCATGGATTTCTCCCTGGAAATAGTGAGTCATTGCACCTATATGCTCAGGGATTCAAATTATGTTTACCATTAACGTTGTATGTAGCTTAAACATTTCCTGCTATTAACCAACAGAGCAGCTGTGCTCAAAATATTCCCATGACCCTACATTGCCTACATTTGGACAGACATCTGCAAAAACACAAAAAAACAAAACGCAACAATTAAATAGATTCAGATGTGCAGCACACATACTAGAAGCGCGTTTTTATGATGGATATTTTCTCTTTTCATCTGACGTTCTTTTGGAGCTCCCAGCTCAGAGGGAGGCTTGACGACATCTGCATAAATAGAGCAGCTACTGAACACAATTTCCCAGCTTGGAATTCTCAGAGGACACACTTCAGGCTTATAAATAGCAGTGAGCACCGTGCATTCAAATCAGCTTATTTGTTTTGGGTTACATATAATCATCTTTACAGCCACATGGCAGGTTGTGGCGCTTTGCTGAGGAAACACAGAGCCTGTGTTTCACCATTCCCAGAGCTTATTTTAACCAGACATTTTCATAAAGGTGTGCAGGGTTTCATTGTTTGCAGTTTGCACTTTCCATTGACTTCAAATGTGGTAAATCATGTTTTTTCTTATTGTTTTTACTTTTTATTTATTCATTTTTTTCTACATTTTTTTGGGGGGTTTTTTTGCCTTTATTGAATAGGACAGCTAGATAGACAGGAGAGAGGTGATGACGCACAGCAAACAGCCACAGGTCAGATCTGAACCCATTGCTGCTGCACCAAGGACTTAGCCTTGATACACTTCATGGATGATTTCTACACCTACTGTACATCTTAGAATGTACAGTCTACATCATTTGCCTCTATAATAATATGATATATATATAATAATAATAATAATAATACAGATCATTTGCTTTGACCAGCATGCAACTTGGTTTGCATCGTCAATGGAGGGAGGAAGGATTTGCATAGATAGAAAAAAAAAAAGCATAACCGTAACTCCTGTTTGCATTGAAGCCATCCAACAGTGTGTTCACCAGAGATGGAGCATTGTGGGATTACATGTTTTGGTAAACAATTCAAACTAGTATTTTGAATGTGGCCATCAGTGGTATTATGTTATTTACATGTTCTGTTATGACACCAGAGTTCAGTGAGAAGTCGGGATGGCGTACCAAAAGGACATCCAGAGGAAACACGATAGAATCCCAGAGGAATTCACACTGTGTTCAGATCGTAGGGAAAGTGAGAAGGCAGACCAGTGCTGCTGCTTCAGTATTATTAAATAACACCAGATATTACATAGATGCAAGATGAGAGAAAAGATAAAAGCAGATATGTCTGTCTGTACTAAAATGATCCATAAAATGTAAATAAACATTTTAAGTCTTTCATGCCTTCATTTATTTAGCGGCTCTTTGACGACCTTTACTGACATTTATCCCTCCCTGTCTCAAGCTTTTACACAGACCATGCGTTTGATGTCAGCTTACACATCATTTCTACATAGAGAACAAGCTTATACTCTATCTTTATATTATAGCTTTTACATAGCCTGTGTCAGAATGTATCAGATTATGTTGTCCCACATCCTGAATGTATAAAATAACAATACTGAGGCTATTTGATATAGTCTCATTTAAAGGTGGGCTCCAATATTTATAAATGGTCATAAGGCCACAGAGTGACAGAGAAAAGGCATCAGTGAGAAAGGGATAGAGAGACGGAGTGAGACAGAACATACACATGTGAACATCTGTCCTTACCGTGGTCTCGTCCTCATGCAGCACCTGGTCGTATCCGCTGAGTGCCACACAGAAAATGATGGCTGTGACATCCTCAAAACAGTGGATCCACTTCTTCCTCTCCGACCTCTGACCCCCCACATCAAACAGCCTGACAGAAAAAGGGATGTGAATATCACACATGTACAAACCCACACAAGCACATTTTTCTTTCATTCTTATGTCACAGTCAGGTCAAATCTAAACAGAAGTGGAAAGACGGTGACTTCTGAAGCCAAGCAGCTTCTGTAGCATTCTCAGTTTGTAGGCCCATTTATAAACTGGGCCAGTTATTGGTTTCTGTTTGTCTATTGGCTCATTATTCCAGCAGTGGCACATTTCTTTCATATGTGACAATTCTGGCGTTCTTCCCAGTTCATAAAGTGGTTCTCTATCTTGCATTGAACTGATATTGTAAACCTTAGGTTTTATTATCAGACTTGTTGTACCCAAGTGTGTTCTCAATAATTCTCTTGTTGACTCTTTTATTTTCTTTTTCTGGGCTCAAGCTCAGTCAGTGTCTCTAAAGTATCCTTTTTCTGGCAGTTTTCATCTCTCAATGTTATCTTTTGGATGTGGTGTGGTATTACTGGTTATGAGTAATACCGTAAATAAAAGAGTGTAGGGGTGTAACGGTACGTGTATTCGTCCCTGTATAGGACGTTTGGTTTGGTATGCGACTGCCTCGGTTCGGTGCGCCCTGTGACCCAAACAATTACTGGCAAAATAGTTTATTTATGTTTAGATTAGTGCTGTCAGTTAAACGCGTTATTAACGGCGTTAACGCAAACCCATTTTAATGGAGTAAATTTTTTATCGCGAGATTAACCTTCTTTTTGGCCTAGCACACTTTGTAGTTTTTTTCACATGCTGTTGCAACAACTAGTAACGTTAGAAAAACTACAACACCACACCGGATCTAGTTAGACCGGAAACAAAACAACAGGCACGCCGCACACACTTGTTTAAGAGTAGTAGACGTTCATTTTGAGTGGATGGCGAGCGCCAGACGCCGAAATGGATGCCAATAATATTCTGAATGGAAAGTTTACTTTTAAAAAGTTGCCAAATGGTTCCATTGACAAGACCAAAGTGATCTGTGTGTTTTGTCGTTGTGAACTGAGCTATCATCGCAGCACGTCCAGTCTGAAATACCACTAAGCACACAGTTGATGCGAATTCTCCGCCCCCTCGTCAAAGCCAGGCGACAATGGATGATGTTAGTGTGAAATTGAACACTACAGTAGCCTATATGCCAATGTTGTTTTCAATAAAAACAACATTTGCACAAAGCAAGCCGATCCACTTTTCCATGTTGATAAGAGCATTATAATGAGAAAAAATAATGGGACAAAAAGAAATCAAGGGACATTTAGAATAGATAAAAATGTGCGATTAATTGCGAGTTAACTATGACATTAATGCGATTAATCGCGATTAAATATTTTAATCGTTTGACAGCACTAGTTTACATACTCGCACAAAAGGAACGCAAATTCTAAAGCTCGACTTTTACCTGGAGTTCAATGACTGGCTAGCCTACCTGCCTTTCTACCTACCTACCTACCTTTTGAGAAGTGGGTCTGGAGGGAGGCCTGAAGGGAGGGGGTGTGATTTTTTAGTCTCTAGTCTCTCCAATGTTACCTACCCTAGCTTTAATCAGTCCGTTGGTCCTGCCCTCTATAAACGAGTGCAAGCTACACAGTTATCAACAGTTCAGATGAGTAAGAATTCAACAGAACAAATGAGATACTGTTAATGTTTATGTACATCTTTTCTTTTTTTGTTTGTTTGTTTGTTTGTTTGGGTTTTCCATGCTGTACCAAGAACATACCAAACCGTAACTCCAAAACTGAGGTACATAATGTACATTTTGTGTACAATTACACTCCTATAAGAGAGTGCCTGACCTGGCAACTGAGTCAGAAATGTACTTGCCCAAAGTCAATTTTTCTTTAGCTGTCTAAAGGCGTCCATACAACATTTTTGGGCTGTCTAAGACAAAAGCTGACAATCGTGAGACAGATGAGGTAAAGTCTTCGGTAGTGAATCAAAACAGTGGTCCTAGATAGAGACACGTCCCATGACAGCAAATTTGGAGCTTTAGTGATCAAAGACAGCCTGCAGCAAAATTCTGACTACAAAAACTTTGGATAGAATACTAAAAATTTATGCCGCCCTGGACAGCGCGTCCTATGTACTAAGGCTAAATTCTTTAATGTCTGCTTGATGCATCCCCCCTGATTCCCCCACTTCCTGTCTATCTTATCACGATCAAAAACAGGCATATATGTGATTGGTAATGGTAGGTAGGTTGATGGGTTACACCCAGTACAGGAACACTGTAAACTCCCACACACTACCTGACTGCCAGTGATAGCAATTGAGCTGACAATATTTAGGGCTTCTCAACAAAACACACCCAGCAAACCACCTACTCAGCTGCCACACACACAGCAGAAAGCACCCTTCAGCAGGACTAACATCGCTCTTTTTTTGTTTAAATTGAGTGTGTGTCAATGTATCTGAACACATGGTACATATGGTGTGTGTGTGTGTATGTGTGTGTGTGAGAAAGGCTGAGACAGAAAGTGAAACAAAGTTGAAGTGCAATGGTGCATCCATTCAGAAAAATAACTGGTGTCTACAGCTTATTAACCTCTCCGCTCTGCGTGCACGTCAATACATTTATGTGTGTGTGTGTGTGTGTAAGCACAGGTACACAAGAGAGGCAGAAATAGGGTAATTAAAAGAGAGGTAAGAAAGACTCCTCCTATCTTTTCTCTTCCCTTTCCTCCTTCCGTCCCATCATACCCTCCTCTCTGTCATCATTCCCATAGCTCCTTGCTCTAATTGAATCAAGTCTCATTAAAAAGACAGACAATCATAAATATAGACACTTGTTTAAAGTATTTAATCTTATTAATTACAGACTGGATTTCCTACTGTACGCATGGATAGAGGAGCAGACCCAGAGATGATAAAGACTAATCAGAAGTTTCAAATGTCCCTGCCAGAAGTTAATACTGACCTGAAGTGGAGGTTTTTGAAGGTAAAGTGTGTCTCGACGATGCCTGTGGTCTTCACTCGGGTCCTCAGGATGTCCTGCTCTGTGGGCTGGTAGTCTGGCGCACCAATCCGATCTAGGCTGTCTAGGTAGCTGCACACAGACACACACAACAAAGACACAGACTGTAAATGAGCAGCAATGTACTTCTAGCTTTGTTACTGTAACTAGGCCTGTCAAGCTTTGGTTTGTCCACATGCTGAAGTGGTGAACATGGGGCTATAGTGAGAGGGATACTTGGCATTTAAAGAGTTGGGAGGATCATGTTGTTACCCAAGATAAGAATGAAAACACACTTTGTGAAAATAAGAACGAGTATGTAAGCGAACGGCTCAACAGGATTATGTTAAAACAAACAACAACTGGCCAGCCAAATGCGTTTCAGGTAGACTGAAACTAAAAATGCAGACACTGAACTCTTTATAATTTGTCTTTATACTTCCAGAAACAGACATAAAGGTAGTGCAAAGGCAGAGTGCAGTGACAGTTTCAGTGTCTTCTTCCTGACAAAATCTAAATGTAATTTGAATGTAATTCAGCTGCAAACATCATAAAGTCAGCCAGAGACAGCCTTTTCAACCCACTCTGGGAGCTAACATTAGCGTAATAAGCTGATAAAATCTGCTAGTGACAGTTGTCTTTTCAGCAGACAAAATAAACCGTCATGAGCTGGAAAGAAAGGCTGCTTCTGTCTACCTCTGTCTGTTATCAAGAACCCACAGTTTCAAAAATCACACAATTTTGTTATCAATGTAAACTGCATATCTGATAATGAAAACAGAAAGCTGGACAGCTGTAGCAGCAGTGAGTGGGGGGTGCAGGGCTTAGTGAATAGTCAGTTCTGATGCTGGTCTTTTAGAGGATGGTTATAATTGTGTCTGTCTTCCTTTGAAGTCAGCCACAAATCCATTAGTAGCTCCATGCATCCCACCTTTTAGTCTCATGTAGACCTAAGTAGATCAAAGGCTAGAGTTTGCTGATCACACTGACGGAGTAAGGGTATGATTACTTAACACAGATGCACTTGCTTTGCTGTAATCCACTTTGCGTGAAGGTGTGATGATGTATGTTATGGCTCAGGTGGGTGAAACAGTAAACATTACAAACACGCAGAATATGACACCAACCCACTGGATTACTGTCATTAATAATGATGGTAAATGTGCTACTGACTGCAGTGGGGTAATCTTCTATCTACCTGCTCCCTCTATTGGAGGTCAGAGGTCAAGATTAGCTACTTGTCAGTACTGCCACAAACGGTAAAGAATCTGTCCCTTTCCTTTGACAGGACTTTATCTAATTATCTAAATCTAATTACTTTTATTTCCTGGAATACAGAGAGTCTTAAGTGGTAAATTCAAGCTGTCTGAAGGAGTGGCCAGTTTCCCATGGTTTCCCATCAAAACATTGCCTCACCTCCCTGATTCCTACACATCAAACAATTAAAGGCTGTCAGCCCTGGTTGGCCGATTACATGCATATGGAAACGAAGTTACCACGTTGAGTAGCCTCTTGGTAAGCAGTGAGAAAGGGAAGTGGGTGGGTGAGAGGACTCTGTTGAGTTATGTAATGGAATATCCCTGGAAGTGGACCTTTATTTTTTAATGTAGTATAAATCAAATAATCCTGAATAGTACAGTTCAGAGATTCATCTCACAGGCCTCGGAGGGTGGCTCTCTGGCTGAGGGATCACTCTACCTCCATACAGTATTAATCCACCCCACCATCAGGCAGAGAATAAGGGAGACAGTGAAGAAAGAGGAGTGACTTGATTACGTATTCACTTTTACAACATTGCCCCTGAGAATCTTTTATTCTGACTGGCTGGCAGGTGTCCGTTATGTTCTTTTAATGCCATGTTCTCTGCCTCCGCTGACTTACAATGGTGTAATGCCCATCTTGCTGCAGAGCGAGGTCTCAGCAATGCTAATTATTTTCCACACAACATCCTTTTAAAGAAAATATTAGTTTTGTAAGCCAACAGAGAGGGGCTGACAGATATATAAAGACAGAAGAGCAGGAGAGATGAGCTAGACCTATACCCACATCATGCAGCCCTTTAATGTAATGGTGTAAAGTCTTTATTTATAGATTGGCTAGAGTGTTGTTTCAGAGCTTTTAAATGGATGCCGAGTTGCTTCTAAAAAAGTGAGAGAAAAAGATAAAAGGCCAGAGAGAGGGAGGAGATATTGGGCTGATGGTAACAAGAAGCGGTTGGCGCACACACACACACACACACACACACACACACACACACACACACACACACACACACACACACACACACACACAAAGACACAAGTGCAGACACACACTGCACGCTCACACAGCTTCAGTGATAAGAACTATTGATTACACAGAAAGGAATATGGCTTAGAGCTTGGTGTTTGGAGAGGATGTAGATAGGAAGAGCTGAAAGAGCCACAATGATCTGCTGGACCTTGGATACTCAGATACTCAGCTGTACTAGAAGAAAATTAAGCCCCCATCCTACAGTCCTACAGCCCTCACTTCATTTTCCAACACTGCTGTTCTCCAGATAAAGGTTCGTACACAACACAATGAGAAATTTCAAGAGAGCCAGGGAGGCAGTGAGTAGCCGAGTCAGTCACACGTGTAAGGCACAAGGAGATAGGGCTTAAGCGATTAGCTGACAATAATCAGCAGCTACTCTGGTAACTGATTAGGCATTACGTTCACCATTTACAGCTTCTCATATGTGAGGATGTGATGCTTTTCTTTGTCATATATGATCGTAAACTCAATATCTTTGGGTTGCAAATTGTTGGTAGAATGAACGAGGACATCTGAATACGTCACTGTTTGGCTCTGGGAAATTATAATAGAATAAACATTTTTAACTGGTTTATCAGGAAGATAATCAGCAGGCTAACTGATAACAATAGTAACAATCGCTAGTTGCAGCCTTTTTAAGCATTATAAAATGCGTGTTCAGTGCGCTCTCAAGCTGTCAATGAATGTCAGTGAATCTTATTTTTGACCACTTCAGTATCTGTTCGGTAATGTCTCCCCTGGCTGTCTATTTCCTGTCAAACTCCACTTGCTATGAAGAAATGAAAATGAAAAACACTATAAAGGCTGCACTTAGATATTTGACTATTGAGTAAGAAAGGTCAGTAAAAATTGCCCATTATTGTTGTGACTCTGCTGACCTTCACCACCACGGGAGGTTGAACCCTCTCTGAAGAGAAGCTGTCTGCTCCTCCTGTTCACCGTTTCCACCCTGCAGCCACGTTTCAAGAATAATACTTCTGACATGAACTTACATGAACACAAATAGTACCATTGTTTTATGTATAGAACTGCTGTCCCCTGAGGGCAGTACATACACAGCAATGCAGATTACATTAAATCATGCCTGGGCCGGGTAATGACTTTTGCATGCTCGTGTTGCCTGGTTTTTAGATAGCATATAGTATGCAGACCACCACTGCATTAGTCCTTTTCCTCATCCTGATATTACTCTTCATGGTGCACTAAGTCGATTAACACCAGACCCCAGTGTATGCTTCTCTCATTTCCCTGGTGATGTACAGTATTAGAGATTATCAATGGAAGAGTGTACGGCACAAAAAGGGAGACAACCGGAGAGAATGTTGTCTGCGAGGTGATAACAACGAGGATGAGCGCATTGTGTGTGTGAGTGTGCACGTGTGTGTGTGTGTGTGTGTGTGTGTGTCTGTATCCAGCATTGAAAAGTTCTCCCGACAAGCTGCGATATTCAACATCACTCTCATAACACTCCACCCTCCTTCTGTTACAGACTCTTCTGTTTTCAGTAGCCTGCAGTATTGCTGCATGTACTGTGTAAAAAGAGTCACCGCACTGACCAGTAATTAACATCAACTAAGGCACTAGCGTTGATAAAACAGCGGCTTGGCACTAAAGAGGACTGATAGTCTCTATGTATTTTGGGGTGGAAAGTGGAGAAGGTACAAGAATAGGAAAGCGAGGCGTGGCAGGAACATCTAAAGGCCAGCAGAGTGAGAGAGATGAGAAGTATTTAGGCGAGTGCGAGCCAAGTTCTAGCACAGTCATATTGATCCCTTGCTGTATTAACTCAAGTTCAATGACCATACATTAGCCATTTACATTGGCATGTGGTTCACTACACAAATGTAACCCATCAAACAAGGGTCACAAGGACCGACACGTGCTTAATAATACAGTAACGTCAAATATGAATACATCACGCCTGTGCTTGTCTCCCTACAATGGCTCCCTGTCAAAGATAGAATTGATTTTAAAATGTTGTTACTCCCTTTTTTAAAGTGTTAAACCGACTTGCTCCCTCATACATTTCGGATTTATTACCCTTGCATGTGCCACCCCGACCCTTCAGATCTTCCTCGGATGCAGCCCGGCTGGTTATTCCTAGGTCATGGTGTGTGTGGCAAAAGGCTTTTGCCATTATAGCCCCCACACTCAGACATCTCTTTATTCTTTTTGTGCAAGCTTTTGGAAATATTCAATGTTTTTATTCCTATTTATTTGTTCTTATTCATTCTATTGTTTTATTACTTCTGTGCTCATGTTTCTTATTGTCATTTTATCTGCCTGTTTTTATTTTTCCTTTGTACAGCACTTTGTAACATAGTTAAGAAATGTCATTAAGTGTGAAAATAGGATTTTAACAGTACATATATTTGAATCATACCAATGTATTTTATGGCAGAATTGATATACCTATAAATGTACCATAAAACATGTCTATATGGCACGTATAGTTTCAGCCCAAGAGAGGTGTCGATTACTGTCGTTGAGTAACCGGCTTTTACATGGTCAGACATCTGCCTCATTGTGATGTTCCAACACATATTTACAACTGACACTTGTGACTACTACAGAGGCTGCAGGGACATGATACAACATGATACTACCTGTGGCCACAACATAAAAGGGCTCTGAATCGATAGTGGAAAAAGCTTTCTCATTATTTAGCCCAGAAAGAAGAAGAAGAAGATAAACCAGGAAATTTCTCATCTCGTGTACACGTGCTTCCAGGCACGTCTTAAATCATCACTGACCACATCTATTTCACATTTGAGCCATTGAGCCAGAGATGTGTCCTTTTTGACCTGTTGTCAACAGAGGACAAAGATAACAACTTTCTAAAGCCAGCAATGGACAAATAACGGTACCCACCAGCACCAAGATTTACTATATTTATCTATTAAAATCAATACAGCTATAGCAGCTTCACATTATTACCTGGTTCCAAGTTCAGTGATATTAGTGGGCACTCTGTACTTGATCTTTTTAATGTTGCACTCTTCAGCGTAATAAACCAAAGCATCAAAGCCATGCTCTGGTCCAGGGCCCATTTAACTACTTCATATGGCATCTTAATGTCATGTGTGCATACACAGTAGAGGATGTGACTGATGCCAAGTGAGTACATGCATACCACAGTGTCATAAAGGCAGGGGATGTAAATCATAAACAGAGTGTTTGTGTATTGTGGTAAATAGGTCAGTACATGCAGGGCATTCGTACAAAGACAGAGAGAGACAGAGGGAGGTGGCTTCAGGCAGTAGTTACTCCTCTCAGAATAGAGCTTTCTGCTTTCTATGTAATACAAACACACACTGCATGCACACCTACACAAAGACCCCCGACTGCTATCATAGCCTTCTTCATCAAATAAAATCAAATAAGCCTGTAACAAACACCTTTAACCTCACTGTATCACCTGACAACCAAAAAGCCTTTTCAAAGCAGGAGAAATATAACTGACTTTCTTCTTCTGTTAGGGATTTTAGAGACAGAGAAGCACACACACAGACACAGACAGAGACACATACACACACCTTCACACACACAAACTGAGCGTGGTCTGATCATGTGCTATCTGTCCTATCAGTTCATTGGCTCGTTGGCCTGTTCTGCTCCACAGGCACCAACATAATAGGAAGTGTGCATCAATCTTTAATGTGACATTTAACATAGACACACACACGGGCACGCACATGCGCGCACACACACACACGCTTATACTCGCACACAGAGCCGATGTTGTTTGAGTTAATTGAGCACATGTAAATGTTGATAGGAATATGTTTGCACTCCTTCCAAGATGTCTGTCATGATGATAAATATCTGTCTTGCAGAATCATTCAATCGCTTTGATGTGCTTTCTTTGTCTAAGCCTCTGTTTGAATTCCCCACCTTTAACTTTCCCTCTCTTATCTCTTCTCTGCTCTCTTCAGTCCCCTCTATTTATTCTGTTTTAACTTGCCTCTATTAGCTTTGGTCTGGACACTTGTTTCAGCTGGCAGGTTCCCATCCAAATGGTGCATTTGATCTCATCTCTACATGTGGTCTCTTCTCATTTTAGCGAGTTCTACACAAATTATTGTGTTTATATAGTTCTATTACAAATGTAACAGTTCTTTTTAAACTAGTGATGGTATCGTTTTATTGATACTGGTATTGATACTGATAATTATCGATACTCTTATTGATACTGCATTTGGTGCAAAATAGACGACATGAAAAGATGTGAAAATATTCAACAGTTATTTTATCACTTTTTTACAGAAATAACAAGTTAAACTATTTCCTGAGTTACTGCATTTCCATTCAATTAGGTAAGTTTGAGCCAGCTGTTTATGTAACATTAATACCAGTCCAAGAGCTTATCGGTATTTCGGTACAGAACTAGTACTGACTATTGCCTCTAAATTATAAGTAAGACCTAACAGATAATGAGGCATCTTCTCACAAAAAATAATACATGTTGAAGTAAAGGAGCTTATAACGAGGCCAGTTTTGAAATCAGTGTCTTTTTTCAGTTTTGTTGCACCAGACAGCAGCAGGAAGTTGCACTCCACACATTTAGAATAGTGGTTAAACTGTTGACCTGAGCAATGTTTGATGTGTCCTAGTATATGATTAGGACAAATGCCTGCCAGCAAGTCAGAAACTATTACTTGATTGTCCTCGATTGTGGTATAGATAAAATGTGTGGACTGCGGTTGGTGCGCAGTCATTATTTCTGAAACATCCTGCTGCCTCCGATATCAGCAAATGTTTCAATCTTAACATTACCTGACTAACAAACAGTGGCAGCCAGTTCACTGAACCCAGTAATATTAGTAGAAATCCAAAGGTTTTCTATGACTTTCCCTGGATAAATATTATAACGCAGTGACTCACTAACATAAACATAATTCACTAGTCCTTCCAGAGGGGCATACTTTGTGCTTTTCACCATTACAATACTCCCAGGTACCTAGGCTGAGTCCTTGCTGTAGCGGCAGTGGGTTTGCAATCGACCTGTGGCCCTTTGCGGCATGTTATTTCCTCTCTCTCTCTCTCTCCCGTCTATCTTGAGTTGTCCTATCAATAAAGGCAAGAAAAGGCTCATACATAACATTCACTACAGAGCCTATAAGAGTGAGTGGTGTACATACAGAGGTTGCACTGCATGCAGCAACACAGATCTCTGACTCCATCTGTCACTCTGCTGCAGTCTCCCTTTATGTCACTGTGTAATGTCATCGGATGTATGGTGCACAATTAAACAAGGGCTACACGCACAAACATGGCACTTGAGGGAAATGACTCCCTCAACCCTCCCCCCCCGCTGTCTCTCTCTCTCTCTCTCCACCCACACAGGCACTCAGCATAAATCAGGCCCAGTACTTGTAAGGGAGATTGACTGTGTGTTATAATAGCAACTGTATGATCGCATTCAGAAGATTATAAATAAACAGTGGCGTGTGTGCATGTTTTTGTTTTTTAATGGTGGGTGGGTGGATTAAGGGATGGGGGGCAGCTAATGAGTGATGCATTGATCTGGGAAACAAAAAAAACTGAGCTGGGCAGTTGGAATACACACACACTAACAGTGCTGAGTCAGTGATAATGTACTTCTGGTGGTGCTACACAGACAGCACCAAATTCAGAACACACACCGTGTTGCTTACTATAAATACACACACCCACAAATGACCACCACCAACACAAGGATGGTAAAAGGGGAATAAACTCAGTTTGCCCATTTTCTACGCTGCCGGTGTTAGGGCTGCCCTGAAACTCAGTGATTTAAATCATCAACGGTTAGGCTGCAAGTAGACTCGCATTCAGTCAGTCGAAAAGCTGCTTGTTTTTCAGCTGTATATTGTGCCCAGAAGGACAGCATGGCAGGCTGTAAACTTTACAAACCGGCCACTCTTACACTCTCCGGTGCTCTGGTGCTGACTGTCAGTGAAGTCGGCTAAACCACTTTTAAACTAGACAGCGATACACCCTCCACTACTACCGTCCTTTGACTCTTCGATTGACTCTTGGGCTGACGGTGCTGTCAGCAGCCTGGCAGGAGAGATGCTTTGTGGTGCGCAGAGATTTTACAACTGATCTTTGAGCATGGCGCACACTTTTACTTTCTCTGACTGTGTGGTAATCTGTTTTCACATCCCAGATGACGAAGAACAGCAGTAAACGTGAGGCAGGCTAAAACAGGAGACACATGTAGCGGCTTTTCCACCACAGGACCTGCTGATATAGGAGTTTAGTGAACAATCGAATAATAAAATGTTCATATTGAACAGCGAAATCCGAGTCGGGTACAGCCTAGCTGCTGTCAATTAGATATAAATTATAAGAGGATGACAGCAGGATGTCAAATTCAGCGCTTTTCTGACAATGTTACTGGTGTTAAAGGATTTTCTCCTGTGGGACATCACAATTCCCTCATACCTTTCATTTGTCACTTAGTCATTGTAGAGCACTCTTCATACACACACACTAGGCGATGTCACCTTAAATCAATATTACAATTAATTGTCACAATTACCTCTGTAATAATTCCTGAAACAATAGCTCATACACACACCTGTAGAGGACACACACAACAAACAAACAACCAAGTGCTGTACGTACTACTGCGCTGAGTCGTTGAGCTGGTACTCTCGGGCGCGGCTGAAACACTCCTGGATGCCCGAGTCGGACCACAGACGTATCATGGCGGAGAGCAGCTCGGCGGAGTAAGGCTCTGTGTCCTCCATACGACTGACCACGTCACACACCATCTTAGCATCCGCCTAGAGGAAACACAGGAGGAGCAGGAGGTTAGCATTCATAGAGGCCTGAGGACCCTTAAGGTGCCGTAATCACATCATCACTCAAATTGAGACATTAGTATAATTATTACAAAACAACAACCATCACAGACAGACTGCCTGTCTCTACAATACATTTAAAGCTGCAGTAGGTAATTTTTTATAATACTAAAGTTTTGTCATTGTTAAACCTTGTCAAGTTAAATTTTAACTGTGTTAACATGAGACAGATAATCTGTAAAGAAAAATCTCCTAGTGCTCCTAATGGCATGCAAGAATCCACCGGGCCTGAACGAAAAAACGTGCTTTGGGTTGGACGCTTGAAGATAGATGATTGTTGAGTCTCATTCCCAGGGTCGCAAAGGATCTGTATTTAACGCCCAGGGGATTAAATTCAACAATCAACTATCTTTCGTGTTCTTCTTTCTTTCTTCTATGGAATCTTGCAAATACCATTTGGAGCACGGAGAAGAGCCAGATGAACTTGATTATTTCACAGATTATCTGTCTCATGTACTACTGTCAGGATATAGTGAAAGTGAATGACCTACTGCAGCTTTAAAACAGTGTGCCACTGGGTGAACAGTGTCCTACAGTATGATAAATACTGTATATTACTTGACGGTGTGTTTGATGTGGAACTACTAGATATAGCAGAGGAGCAGGAAACAATTGATCTGGAGGGGGGAGGGTTTACATGGATGGAGGATGAAAAGGAGAGGAGGTTAGAGGTAACAACAATTACACACGGCGATTACAGGAGATGACAGAAGAAAAGAACAAGATTAGGGGGAGAGAGGAAAGAATGAAAGCACTTTCAGCTCCCTCTGGTCATTTATTCTCTAGGTCACAAAAGCATTATCTGAAATCCACGTGTCATTACAGACCCTGAGTCAGTACAGAAGCAGCAGCCTAACACAGAGGAGTGGCCTGAGCTCAAACATTTCAGTCATCAAATTGTAATGTGGACAACCCTTCACGAAGATGCTCTAAAAATAATGCCAACTGGACTTGGACAAAGGCATAGCTTTTCTTTTTTTTTTTTTTTTTTTTAGCTGCAGAAAGGCCTCCTCGGCTGTTGCCATGCAGCAGTGATCTGGCTCTGGTTCCTTCAGAGGCTGAGGCGGTTGGTCTGCACTGAGCTCTTTCCAGACAAAGAGGCAGATAAATCATCGCCTGGTAACTGACATAACTGAAGAGGAGTCACTGTCTTAAAACCCAAAGCTGTTTAGGTCGTATGATCATAACAGGCCTGTCCGTCAGCTGCCAGCTCTGCTTCACATCAGGCCATTTCATACATGTACTGCTTGATATAAGCAAACTATTGGCCATATGGTTCCTATGGTGACAATGAATGCTATAGACAAGGATGATATGTATTCATTAAGACGAATTTGGTGGAATTCAATCTTGTAGTTGCATACATCATTTCTTTTGTTTAATTTATACGAGACGTGTCATTCTGTGTTTATGGAAAATCCTGCTAGCCACTTAGCTATGAATAAACCAGCTGCAGAGATCTCACTTAGATTCCGCTGCTATTACCAGCATCTTGTCTGAATCCAGGACTTGATCCCCCCCCCCTCCCTTTGCTCTTTGCTGCTATTGATTTCTTTTCCTAGCACTTACCTCCTACATGGTCAATCTTGCTCCCAGTAATGATTCCGGGGCACTGAGGCCCTGACCTTTGTCCTGCTATCGTTTGGTGGCTTCGTATGCAGATAAACTACAAATTAAAGAGTCCTACACCTGCACACTTATCTGTACTAAACAGCAAAAATGGAAAATACCATTTTCTTTCTTTCTTTCATTCTGGCTCTGTATTACAAAATGTACATTAATTGTCAGAATATCTTGAAGCTTCTTAAAATGGTCTTATTTTATTTTATATAATGCCATTTAGAAAGGACATAACAACGCAATCTACTGAATGTTATCTAATTGTTAATTCTAATAAGACAACATTTCTATTTTCAAGCTTGTTTATGCATTCTGGATTCATTTTTATTCCAAACATAGAGTAAAACTGTAATAGATTTAGAAATACTTCAACTGAGTGATCTCCAACCTTTTTCCTTAAGGGAGCACCTTTGTTATTATTGATATCACAGATATTAACAGTGCACATAATTATATTGATGGTACAGAACAACTTTTTATACAATTCCCTGTCTGTGTTATATATTTGTAATTTCTAACAATCAAAATACTTAATAGCCACCTTTTTTGACAAATTCAGTGTTTTCTTCTCCCTGATGCTTGGCCATGTTCTATTAGCTCTTTGGTTGTTTTAACTTTTCTAATTCAGAACGAGGATTTTGCAGAGACCGAAGGCTTCGTGAATATTGTGTTAAAAGGTCTTCAGTGTGCCCTTATTTGTGAGACGTTATATATGATCTTATATCTTCAATAATAATCTAAACTTTTAAAATAATAATTTAATTCAGATTTCTTTACAGAAATGAATGGAATAAAACATAGGACAACAATTTATTTGTTTAAAAAATTTCTTGAAACCCCTTAAAATCAAGAAGGCCTCGCTACCCCTCATGAAGGACCCCCTAACTGGATAACCCCTTAATCTTAAAAGTGCATAAAATCAAAAAGAGATGATCCTTCTTCTGTATAACAGACAACATAACATCAACCTCACAGTGGCTCTAGATTCCCTGAGTCAGCAAGCTTGAAATATGACCCCATCTGCTGTATGTTACACAAATGGATCCCACTGTATATCAACAGTTTCAACCTACAGGTACTTCTACAAAGGTGATATTTGTATTACTGTGAAATCTGTGAGTCAGCAAAATTAATTATAGAGCAGGGTGGACACAGTTTAGCATCTATGCAACTAAAAAGCAGTACAATCAAATAATCTATGCAACACTACACCTGGCTCACTCCATCACTGGAACAATATATCATCAGTTCTTTTTTTTAACAAATGAAACAGTATAGTGTCAGGATGAGTGTTGTTATTCCTTTACTGTAATTTTATCCAGACATTATAATTAGATTGCACAACACTCAGGCTGTAATTACAATAACTGAAGGCATGATCTGTTTGAGTTTCCACATCCCCCTGAAATTCACAGCACGCCACGCAATCAGGAAGAGATAATAACACATTACATGAGTTTGGAGATTTGACAGATTTGACTGTGCTTATGCTCCTTCAGCAGCAGCCTAATTAAAACTCACCCAGTCTGACACACACACACACACACACACACACACACACACACACACACACACCTGGGAGTTGCCCCGGTGCAACCAGTGTGGCTTCAATACATTTAATGTACTGAAGGATTTCACCATCATGCTACGCTAGCCCCACATCCACTTAGAAAGTTCAAAACGCTAATGATGTCAACAAAGCAGAGAGCGAGTGATTTCACAATGATGCTTCATGATGAAATGTTACTTTTACAGGATGTTACAACATAACAACTCTTGACTCATTTGTCCAAATTTAACAGATACATGCTTTGATATGGTCATTAAAGGAGGGGATGCCTTTCCCCTTCTTGTCTCGGTCTCTTTCCTTCTTTTTCTTATCATGCATCTAGTCCTCATTGAAAAGTCCAGTGTGTAACTTTTAGGAGTATCTATTGGCAGATCAAATGGAATAAACTATTTATAACTATGTTTTATGCAGGTTTAGTTTGGTTTGCTTGGGCCAGGACAGTTCCCCGCAGTTTCAGGTGTGAAAGCTAGACCGAACTACCTCGTAAATCCATCTGCTGATCGCCAACTGTTAAGAAAGCAATCTCCTGATATGATGTGTCAGCAACGTGCAGCCTAAATCATTTACACTTACAGTCAGTGTAAACAGGAAGTATTGGTATTGTTTGCAGCAGATCATCATTACGTGAACTGAGTCACTGGTATACTGGTGACTTCAACCAGACCGGTCTTCTCCTTTATAATTCCTTTACCCTGTTTACAGTGGACGTTCCTGTCAATCACTTTCTGCATCTGGTGTACCAACCTACCTGACCTCATCCAGTCTTTTTCTCAGCCATTAGCCATCCCTCCATCATCATCCTGTCTGTCAGTCCATATCTATCTGCCTCTATCTGCACTCATCTCTCCAGTTTTTTTTTAATCCGTCTGTCCTTCATCTCTCCTTCCATCCGCGCTCATGATCATGCCTGTTTTGTTCTTCTCCATTTGACCTCTTCATGTGTCTGTTTTCTCCCTTTTTCTTATTCCCCTGTATTTCTGTCCATCCTGTCTCTTTCATACTTCAGTTTCCTATCCTCCTACCCTCTCTCCATCTCTATTTTTGTCCCCCCATCTCTATTTTTGTTTGTTTCTCTCTCTCTTTCTCAACAAGCAAGCAATCTCTTTTCCTTTCATAAGCCCCCCCGTCCTGCTCCACTTCTCACTTTCTCACCTCTACGACACTGACACGAGCTTCGCTGTTCTCTGTTGTGTTAAACATTTTTAACTCTGTCACCAATGTGTGTGTGTGTGTGACATATGACCAGTGTGTCTCATTGGCCCCATAGATTTGCTTGCATTGGTTTTATTTTTGTGTATATCCAGATCACAATTATTTTGAACTTTTATTTCCCTAAAAAAAAAAAATTTTGCAGCCGTGCTTTGCTTCTGTTTCATACTGTTCCTTTAAATTCCTCACCGCCTTGCTGTTAGTGGATAACCCAACAATGTTCACAACAGGAATGTCTCAGCTGATGTCTTTTGAAAATAAATCCTAAAAAAACAGGAGTAAACACTTATTTGTAAGAGTTCTTTCAGCTCATTGTTTCAGTTTTACAGCTAATTTAGCTTCAGTTTCATCAGTTTTCATCTCTGTTTTTAGCAGCAGCAGGCGGACAAAGTTAGCCAAGGATATAAGCTCCACTGGGGATGGGGGGGTACGTGTTCCCCTCACTTCTCAACAGTCTATTTTTGTTCCCCTTTCCAGCTTCAGTTTGATTAATTCACTAAAAGACCTCTAATTGTGTAATCTG